AGTCTATTCTCTAATTACACTGGAGATGATTATGGCTGAGTATAATCTACCTAAGAATTATTAGACTGTCTACAGAATGATTACATACTGGCGACACACAAATCTTTGATGCTTTCTTTCTGTGTAAGCTGTCATGAACAGTGTAAAGCAGCAAGGATGAGTGGTTAGAGCATGGTCCTGGGAATCAAGAGAGCCTGGGGTGTATGTTGTTCTGCCATAAGCTTGCTTCTTGGCTTTGGATAAATCTTGTAACCTCATGGCAATTAAATTACCTCCTACATGAAGTGGGGAGAGCATTTAGTCACAGCTGCATCTTTGAAATCTTTGAATGGAGATTGCTGCATAAACAGAAGATACAAAATTATAGTAATTAGGACAAAGCCACAGTGCTTATCTATTGATTATTTGCTCTTTGTCTTTAATAACATAACAGCAGAATTTATGGATATTTTTAAATTTTTTTTTTTTTCCTGTAAAAGATGAGTTTCCAATGGGATGCAACATCAAAGGAGGAGAGCAGGAAGGACACATCTTTAGAAAACAGAATTTCAAAGAACCTTTGTTCCATGTTTTATCTGTGAAAGGAAGAGACCAAAAGGCAAACACAGAAACATACAGCTTAAGTTAGAGTTTATTTTTGTTCTTCTTTTAATACCTCCTTAGTTGGAGATCAAAGCCCATTCAGCAGAACTAGTACCCAAAATCCTCAAGGCACTGCAGCATTAATCTTTGATTCATCTTTTCCAAAATACTTCCCTCTGCAAGTTCAAGACAGCAGCCATGCAGGCATACAACTGAGGGAACTAGTTTTCTCAGCAAACTGTTTAGAAGGAGATAAATTGACTTAATTCAGATGTTGAGTGTTGAAATTATATAAAAAAGATGTACTAGCTAGATTTTAGTGAAAGCACAATGCAGCCAAGAAAGCTCTTTTGTTGGTATTCAAGCCACCATCTTAATCTTGTTCTCTCTGGTGGACACTGATTTGTACTACCTAAAAATCTGATGAACAGGGGTTGTACAGAACTAATGTTCCTGGTTGCTGCTAAGTCAGCATTCTCAGTCTATACCCATAAAGGTGGTTTCACCTGTAACAAAGAAAGAGGGTGACAGGTGCAATGTTCTGATATGAAGATGTCACCTGCTGGGCTCAGTGAATGTTCAAAACTAAAAATATAGAAGTCTTGGCTGCAGCCCCTTTATTCAATTATACCATTGAAGATTAATCTATGAAAATGGCTGCAGCTGTACATAAGATGCCATCACAGGCACATTGGCAGGCTTAGATGCCAAGCTCTTACTCATGCACCACAGAAGGTGATTCTCCATGGCACAAGTGACAGAACACAACTGCTTACCCTGTGTCACAGGGACAGAAGACAGCATACTACCAGGACTCTGGGCATGCTGCAGTCACTCTCAGAGTTTAGAAACCTATCAGGCACAGCACTGAACCACACAGCTAAGCTGCTTCATTGCCCATTCAAAAAGGTTGTCTTTTTCTGAAGTAATGTTTTATCAAAACATTTTCCTTGTTTTAATTTACAGTAACCTGTGACACCACAACTTATTTTCATAACCCTAAAACGTATCACAAGACACATACATTATTATTGGTTTATGAAGTCCATGAGTCTGGAGCTTTTTTAGTGTGTTAGAACAGCACCTGTTAACAACAAGGCTAAAATACTTGACAATAGCTTGAGACTCATAATAATAAATAGTCAAGGTGGGTGGAAGAAGGAAATCTGTCATCCTGAGAAGATAATCCAATAACAACAAAGAAGTAGAAAATGCAGAGACAACGGTATTACTTTCTTATGCAACAATCCTGTTTAATCTTCATGTACGTTTCCATTGTTATGGTGCTGCCTTGTACAGAAATGCTGGGAGCAGACCGGTGAACTGAAAGAGGGTCTCACTTCCCTCTGCAAGAAATGTGCTATAGTAACTATGTGCTATGTAGTTACCCTTAGTAAAATTATATTAAAAGTCAAGCAGTTTTTCACAGCTTAGCATTATTCATGAAACTGCAGCAGCTTGAACATCAATACATAAGACAAAAAACAGTTCTGGTGTTATGCAGGTGATCCAGGAGTTCATTAAAGTGAGTGCATACCCAAAATAGCTTTATATTTTATATTAGTATGTCATGTCTGAGTAATCTACGTGTAAATTGCTGCAATTTAAATCACAGCACTTAGAGGAATGATTGGACAGTAATACAAGTGACAGAAAATGCCACTACGTGATTTATCAGCCATCTGGTGCAGTGCAAATAGCACTCATTCAGGAGAGGTTATAGTCTTCTGATTAGTTACCACAGCAACAGGTCTGCTGAGTACACTTAAAAAGTTATGCATGTGTCAGCAACCTTCTTTCTCCTCCCATACACATCATACACGGGGGCTGTGAGAAGGGGCATGTGCCTCCAAGGCTATGCATGTTTTTGCTGAAGCATTTTCCATTATTCCACTTTTCAGGAGACTTAAAACTTAGGCAGCCTTTTTTTTTTTTTTTAATATGACTTTAAGGAGTCCTGACTACAGAAAACCCTCACCATGATTAAGTAATTTTCCTTATTCATGGAAGAGGTAGATAGCTGCAGGTAGGAAGGGACCTCTGATATCAGAAATACTTCAAACTAAAATATAAGAAAGAAGTCCTTTTGGCTGCTGGTCTTCCAAAAGGATAGGAAAAATATATTTTTAAAATTGTCCAAAACTGAGTATCTCTGTCATAGAAGAGCCCACATTTACATAAATGGCCTTGTCCACAATGTACAACTGGAAAATAGTAGTTTAATTGGAGATGGGAAAAGTAACAAAGCTCAAACTGTATTGTGCATTTCATGCTCATTGTGTTACTCGTTATGTACCTATTTTAATAAAGAAATGTCAACAACAAATTACCCAGTTGTTTTTAAACTCCCTTATATTGGCTATTAGCCAAGAAAAATTGGATGGTACAAAGAGCTATTCCCCTGCCTGTTTTCTCTGCTGTTTCCCCCAGTGCAAGGGCCCCTGGTGTTTCCTCCAAGCCTGCCCTTAGCTTTACACCCCGGCAGCGGTGTGACAGCGCGAGCCTGGCTGGTGCCGCTCCGGTCTGTCCAGAGGCACCGACGCATCCCCGCGATGCCCTCCCACGGCTGCCTGCTCAAGCAGCAAGGTGTGAAGGTTCGAAACCAGCGCAGGTATGGCAGAGCATATGAATTGGTGTCCTAGAGCCCACCTCACCAGCCTGCCTTCACACAGCCCCACCGCTGCCTGAATGGCTGGCTGTGTCTGTTTTGAAAGGGTGCCATGGTGGGTGAGCTGGACTTGGCTCAGGTTAGCAACAGGACCTGGTACCAAATGAACAGGGGCACTAGCTATTTCTGCTCCATACATGCTCCCACCACAGTTTGTGCTCGTTTGTCAGCTGCAAGATGAGTACCACCACATGTCCAGGAGCTTTGCTTCAGACTCAGTTTTGCAGAGGCAGAATGCTGAATTATTTCAGAGTGCAAGCCTACATTGCTATGTCCATGTGACCATGTTAAGCCCAGGTTTCAACCCAACTAATAATACTGACAATAGCAATGAGGACATGACGGCACATAAGGGCTGAAATACTGGATGCAAATGTAAATTCTTACTGTCTGTTATAAGGAAGGAACATCGCCATTCTTGCCTAAGTATTGTGGTCAGCATTGCTAAGAGTAAAATACAGCAGGTCATAATTTTCTTTAAAATGTAGCAGGTCATAATTTTCTTTAAGCAACAATTAGTCTGTTAGCTACAGCCCTGTAGACTCCACACCCAGAGATGGACACAGGGTCACCAAAAACATTTAACATTGCATTTATGGAATGAAAACCTGTTCTCTAAAGACATATCCCAGCAGATTAGAGAGACCAGAACTAAGCTGTGCTATTTACTCCCAGAGAGACAGCAGACCAAGCATGCAAAAGGAATAGGTATTACCTAGTTCACTATTCAGGGAAAGAGATAGAAGAGGAAACATCAGCTGCTTTAAAGGAATTTCAGTGGCAATAAAGTGTAAAAGGACAGGATTGATTTAATGCTTTCAGTCTGACTCCTAAATGAGGAATCAATTATCCTGCGTCATTTAATCTCCTTAAGCAGGTCATGACACAAACTAGAAATTAGAAGCACTCAATCTAATATGAAGAGCAGCTCTTAATGGTAGCCTCAGATTTTTTAGAGGAAAACCTGACTGTGACTTGGGGAGCTCTGAAGAATTGCCTCCACTTGATTTCCAGTCAGATCCTAGTATTTTAGAGGTGGGATTGTTCACTGTTTATCCAACGGAGATGCAGGTCAGTTATAAGAAAAGAAAGAAAAAAAGAAAAGAAAAAAAAAAATACTACCCTTGCAAACAAACTCCAGCCCTGCATCAGGAACATGGCATTCAGAAACCTTGCACAAAATTACTTACCTGACATGTTTCAAACAAACCTCTATTTTCATGGCAAATTTAATTCAAATTTCTTTATTTAGCAAACAAAGCTGCTAACTTTTTTTTTTACATCATTCAAGAGAACAGAAATACCACACGGCTCCTAACCGAGTGCAACTCCTAGCTAAACCAGCATCCTTTTGGAACCTAACCTCTTAGAAGGAAGAGATGTGATGCAGGAGGTTCCATGTGAATCCCCTCCAGGCTGAAAACGAAGGTCCTTGTCCCTGTGTATACTGATATATAGCTTCCTACTGAGCTTTTCAAATACATTTCTTGTGTGAAGCTGTTGACATAATCAAGCAGAAGCATGAAAACAGAAGCAGGATAGCTAAAGACAGACCCTTATTTTGTCAGAGCTGTTTTTCCTGTGTACCAGGAGAAAACTAGGGCACAGAATGTAAGCATTACGACTAACTTTCAAGAGAGACTAAAATTATCCAGGATTATACAAATATAAGCAGGCTTTGTGTGTTTTATTTCCTGTTACTAAAACCAATTCAGTTTTGTGGTGGTGGGTTTGTTGTGGGTTTTTTTTGCAAAAGCTCTATGATGAGGCCAAATTATTTTTAAGAAGCAAACTCAACATACCTATTCTGAATATTCTTTAATGGACCTTAGAAGTGTGCATCTAACCTTTGTTGTAAGAGTGAAAATCCATACAGAAACTGTCTAAAGCAGTGATTTCTAATCAAAGATCAGGAACCAGCCTTATTATTTGTAGTACCAACATCAGTGGCTGCCAGTGTTCTTTCTTCCAAGTAAGCAGATGCCAAAAGACCGAGGAAACAAAATCTTTTGCATTTCACACATCACTTGGGGTACTTCCACTCACTCTCACCAACTTCCTCTAGCTTTGCCCCTTTTCCCAGTTTGTCCCCAACCAATGAGGTCTCCCCATCCTGCTGATATTCACCTGCCATCTGAAACTGGGATTTCTGGATTAAGGGATAGACCACCTCATATCTAACAGCAGAAACGATGGGGTGTGAGGATCACATATGACAAAGACAATTGTAATTTAAAGACTGACCTGTACTGCCTATTTTTACACTGAAGTACCCAGAAAACACTTTTCATTCTAAACATCATGAAGAAGAAACTATGGTAGCAGATTTTTTGATACGCACTTGACACTGCAATTTTGACTCAGTCACATATAGCACTCGCCAAAGCACCTCTATGCTAGGGATGTTGCTGGCTGCACAAGGGCGTAAATTAATGAAAAGCAAAGATTTAAGACCTAATAAAGTGATTCCTTCAACAGTTTGCCTTGTCAGTTGATCTCAAAGAAGAAAGCTTTAAAAAACATTTCAGACTAGAAGCACCATTCCTGAAGCTTTGCCAAAAGCTTTCTTGTGTCATTGCACTGCATATCAAGAATTTTCAAACAAGAATGAACTCTGAGGGCTGCTTCTTAACCTACCGAAGACAGCAAATCCCACTGTAATTGCTAGGTGGTGGCTGTGAGTGACAGGCTGCAGTTCTAAAAATCATCAGTACATATTTTCCTATATAACCACAAAACAAGAAACCTGTGAAGGATATAAGCTGCAGGAAAGTGCTCTGTTTTGAGCCTGCTCCAATTTTTCCAATGCTGCGTTTTACAGACACGCAATGAGGGTTTCTTTCTTCAGGGGAAATACACCTCGTGCTTCACACACAAGCCAGCCAAAACGTTACCAGAGCGCCACTGATAAATTCCAGTATTCCTCCTCCCCTCAGGTAGCTAGCTGGCTCCTGCTAGCACTGCAGCAGTATGCCCTGTGGATTAACAGGCAGATGCAACCGAGGTTAAGACAGGCAGTGGTATTTCTACCCAAGAAATCAGTTGTCTTCTTTAACAATAGGAAACAGTAATAAAATTGAAGTGTCTTCTCACATCTACTACTGATTCTGCACTTCCAAATTTCTTCTTTCAGTTCAATTTCAGAAATTTAACACAGCTACCAAGAAAAGCACTAAGAACAAAACCCATCCACTCATCTAGCATAAACCTACACACAACACCAAATAAAGAATCTTGGCCCTGCAGCTTTAATACTGTGCTAGCACTAACAAATTAACTACATGTTCACTTATTCTTATGAAATGGTTTAAAAATCTAAGCACAAGATAATGCATATGTATTTTTCACAGTATTCACTCACTCCAAACTCCTAATTAATATAAAGGAAACAACAGTTGGCCCTTACTGAAGGCACATGATGTCACCCCATTATTTAAGCTTTTTATATATTTGGTCAGTAATCTGGGCCAAATTTTATTTCAGGCTTTTATGCTTCCATTCCCCAGCCAGACATTCACAGAACATGCTAAACACTGTAAACAATTGTCTAAAACCCTGACAGACAGAACACAAGTCTCAGTTCTGCTCTTCCCAGCAGCACAGAGTATTTCCCCTTTGGCTGGTTGGGTACCTGCCAGTTCCCACATCCTAAGCAAGACTGCCTTCAGGGTCAGCTTTATACTACCCCACCCCCCCCCAGTCTAGGCTATGCCAGTTGCCTAGTCTCCCCATGTAGTCAATGGAGAGACAGGAAACTCTATTTGATAAGGCATCTAATCCAATACATAACATCATATACGTGATGAGTTGCCCCCAGGCACCTAGTGCTCTGATGACTGCAGGGGTAATCAAAGATACTCAGCACAGAACATGGAAACAGTCTAGGGAGAGCTGAAGTTAGGCAAACCTGATTTTTATAATTGCTGAGAAAAAAAAGTATCAACAGACAAAATCATGACTGGTAGGAAGAGCTGAATAGGTAATGATTATTCACTACTTCCTCAAAAATACAAGAGTCAGGACAGGCAACACCACTGAAAACAAAGGGAAATATTGTTATACACTATTCTACTATGAAACTCACTGCTATAGAACATTATGGAAGTATAAATGGGTTCAAGAAAACTAGATGGCATCACTGAGGAAAGCATAACCTAAAGGTTACTCAAAACAAAGTGGCTATAATTCCATACCATGTAGGCCATCAGCCACAAAATGACAGATGCTGTAAGGAAACAACAAAACAGAAAAAACCCCACCACTGCACACCTTCACTCATAATTTTTTCCCCCCTAAAACAGTCACTATTGACAGCAATCAGCAATGTCCATATACAGCTGAACTCTTCAATAAAGTAGTCTTCTAATACTTCTTTGCATCACTAGGTGGCAGGGAAAACATCTAGCTCATCTAAGGCACTGAGAACCTTGATCATAGAATTATGGATTAGTGCAATGCAGCAATCTCGAGTTCATAGAACTGCATTTGCTATGAGTCCCTACATAGCCCTGAGCAACATTTTTCAAGTAAAATACTGCATTCAGAGATGCGTATGTTAGTGGTGCTAGAATACAGGATAGTTCCTTCCCTGAGATACCCTGCCCTCTCATTTAAGAAACCATGGACAATTGCAGAATGTTTGTTCCTCCCCAGAAACAGTTCAAAGCCACACAAAATGGAGTTGAAATCCTCATGGTCTTGACCTCTGAAGAGAGAGCACTGTAACATTCACATCATGCCCGTTTACTAAAAAGTCGCTTTATTATTTAAAATTCACATCACTTGTGTGCTGCTTGTAAAACCACTGGAGAGGGGCAATGATGAAAAAAGTTCTGCAACTCAGGCAATTGCAAAACAGGCAAGCCAATGCAAATTGTTCTTCAGGCCATACTAATCCTCCTGTCAGTATACTCTTCCCCTTCTGCAAGTGAAAGAGACTTCAGACTTGTAACATTTTGCTCAAGATCTTCCTCAGAACTTGAGAAAAAGGTATGATCTTTCTTCATGAATGCAAACTCCGAGTTTCAAAATAAATGCGTGTGTATAAGTAAAGGACACCACCTCTGCACTGCAGCATAACTTGCCATTTTCCAAATTACAGACATCCCCTAGAATGTTCCTGACATTGGAAGTCTGACATTTAACTCCTTTGTTCACATAATTTAAAAGGAAATTGCAGACAGGTTGGTAACACTCCTCCTTTAGAAGAGCAAAATCAGCACAGAATAGTCACTTATCATTCAGCTTTGTATCAGTTTCTCAGCTGTATAGAGATGCTAATGCCTTCTAGTACACCTTTTAAAAATCTGCAGAAAAAAAAGAAAGGTCAGCACACTGCTTTTTAAGCAGTGACACACAAGAAGGAAGGTCAAGGAGTCACTGAAAGTGATCTTAACACACAAACAAATCACATTAAGGCACTGAACTGGATTTCGGTTTTCACAATGTTTGATAACTGTAAAGTTTGTTTCATTTCTGAAAAATAAGTTAATACAAAATTTTAAACACTGATGTGCAAGTATTTGCTGCATAAAAAGAGGTACATTTTCATACTTTTAAAATCATTTAAAACATTTGTACATAATAAACAGAAATTGTCTTTTACATAAACAAAGAGTGTTTCTTTGCCAACAGCAGCTGTCAACTCCAAAACACAGAATTAAGATGACAAGAGAAGCAGACAGTCTAAGTCACTGCCATTTGTGTCAAAAAAATTATGCCACTCTTTTCTACAGCTCATCATGCTTGTATGTAAATTCCCTTGCAGATATAAACCCATCACTGTCTTCATCTTCTTTATCAAATATGTCTTCAACCAAAGCATCATGCTGGGTGTCATTTACCACTGCTCCATGCTTTTCAAATTCTTTCTTCAAGTAAATTTTCACCTATTAGACAAAAGGCAAGAGTTAATGTTTTCAGACTTACGAAAGAATTGATTACTGTAGTATAAGACAGGGTGCCACTGTGTTTAGGACAGTAGTACTAAGACAGATACCTTCCTTCCTGCCCTTACCAAAATACTACTTGTCTGACTGATTCTGCAGCACTGCTCAGTGATGAAAGACTCTAGTAATATAAGTGACTGTGCTGGGTTTGTGTGTGTGGTGGGGTTTTTGGTAGCCGGGGAGGGAGCTACAGTGGTGGCCCCTGTGAGAAGCTTCTTGAAAGCTCTCCCAGCTCCAAGTCAGACCTGCCTTTGCACCAAAGCTGGGCAAATAAGTGATGGTGGCTGCACTTCTGTGATAACATATTTAAGAAGGGGAACCTGGGAGGGGGTAGGGACTGCGAGGAGGACATCTATGTGAACACTGAAGTCAGTGGAAAGAAGGAGGGGAAAGGGGGGAAGGCATGCCAAAGCATTTAGCAGGAAAGATTCCAACATGAAAAGGCATAAAACACCAAAGGCAAAAAGGCAAGCAACACTGAAAGTCATCTGCAAGGAAGATCAGAGACTCACCCTTCCTCACAAGACTAATGACCACCTGGCCTTGGGTGTCTTACCATTAACAATGAGCACATCAGATGGTACTTAGGCTAACAACTTGTTAGTTCTAGTTACCCTTACTGTGCATCACCAAATAAATAGTTGCCTAAGCACTCTTAAACAGTGTGTATTTTGCTTGCAGAGTTGTTCTGTGCACAGTAGTAACTAAAATCAAACTTGTGTTTAGATACTTCCCTAACGGTATCAAGTTAAGCTTATCTTTTGCTTTCCAATACCCCATCCTGTTCAATTTGCTCACAGGAAAGAAAACCCACTCACCTCTTGCTTGGACAGTTTCCAGTCATCATTAAGATCCATCTCTTGGAATGACTCATGAGACCTTGGTCCATTCCTGATTTCTAGAAGGTCAACGTTGAAAATCAGTGTGCTCTCAGGTGGAATTTTTCCTGCCCAAAATGGTAAATATGGAGAAAAGTTAAAAACTACTTATTCAGTGCCATACAAAAGCTGTACGCATCAGAGCAATGTTCTGATAATCCAACTACTTTCACAGCATCCTGCAATTTGAACTAACAAGGATAAAGTATCTGTAACAATGATAACTAATTATTTCAAACTGTAGCCTGGACCCTGAGCATCCCTTACAGCACACATGCAACTTCAGATGCAACTAGTTTTGTTGGAAACTAGTACATGTTGATGTGAGCCCATATTCAGCAATCATTATCACAGGTTTATGAGACAATGCTCTCAATTCTTCTTTTCGTGTCCAGAGCCAGATAAAGCAGAAAACAGTGACGGAGACTGTACAGCCAGGCAGGTGGCCACTACTGCAACATAGAGCCAAGACTGATGGACAAGAAGTGAAAGTTTAGTCCTCCTTGTACACTATAACCCCACCAGTCTCCACATTCCTCTCCGCTGCAAACTGACACCTTGTACCTGCTATTCTGCCACTGAAAAAACTCTTATTGCAGAGAAAGCCAGAAGGGCAGCAATACTGTCAGTATCCCATAGCTGTCTCTGGACTGCTGCACAAAGCACCCAGCTATTTCCAAATACACAGCAGAAACTAAGTATATAAACCTGCTCAAAAGACATGTGTTGGCATCATGCCATTTTTGACACAGGTGAACAGAATGATCATTTCCCAATAGTGCCAAAGACTACCCCCCTCAGTGCCACCACTTCTTAGGGATTTCAGTTTATTAGGCATTAACTTTTACAGTGATGTGATATGCCTTCATGCTGATGACTAAAGCTACTGTCAAAGACCTTTTAGCACACACCACTTTGGTCCTATTCAACATCTCTCTATATAAGGAACAAATATATTTCTATACTGGATGGCAGCACCCCAAGAAAATATTCCTGTGCCTTGAGAAGATAAGGAAAACACTAATCCATGTCTACTTTTGGAGTTATGGTGTTAAATACACTCTGAGCTGCAGCAGCAAACAGGCTTGTAGATTTCTGGGATAAATAAATGTGTAGAAACTTGGGGAAATACAGGGCACAGTGGCCTGCTTAGAGTTTTGAACACTGATAGTTTTCCTGAGTGTTACAGAAAAAGGCATTTGACTCATCATTCAAGTCAGACAGCAAGCAAGGTGGTGAAATTATGCGCGTTCAGAGGAAAGCATGAAGAAAATGGCACAATTCTGTCTTCAAGGGCATGATCTCAAAACAGCAACATAATTATATTCAAATACTTCAAAGTTTTCCTAAAGCAAGTAATTTCTTACAGCAGCAGTTAGTGGCATTGCCTTGTTCCACCTTCTTGCACACTAAACAGAGGTGAGGCTTTCAAGTCTTTGAAGAGCAACTGTAGTGCTTTACATATTAATCAAGGCAATTAGGCCTGTGATGACTACATGAGCACTGCAGCGTTTAATAGCTTTTTGTGGAAAAAAGTTGTGCCCCCTGCATACAGTCAACTGACTGCCAGAAGTCTGGTTCTCTACTAGAAACAAAATTACTTATAATACTATCCCTTGAACCCCAAACCAAGGCTTCTAGAAAAACATGTTTTAAAAGGATACTTTTGAGAAAGGAGGTTATGGAGTATGCTGCATGTATGGAGTACTATGAAATACTACTTTGCCTATGTTCAGCCTTTCCTGCCAGAAGATACAGACATGCAAACATGCCTTTTTCCTACAAGAGTCTCAAATTAATGAGAGGGGACAGTAGCAGCACAGATTATGTGTTCCAAGACATCTATCCTTTCTGCTTTGAAACCCTGTGTTACCTTAGGTCATTTGTGATAGTTGTTGTCATGACAAGATATTTCTAATAATTGCTCCAAAAAAGCCCCATAAAGCAGAGACAGTAACCTTCCTACATCATTCAAGTTGTCATTCATTTAACAGCAAATTCCAGATCTGGCCCTCCCATTAAAATAGGCACCTAGAAATGTTTGAAAGGAAAACCCCTAAACCCTATCAGTAGTAGACAGTTTGAGAAAACACTACAAACAACACATTTATCTGTCTGTACACTACTGAACACATTTTCAGTAGATGCCAATATGACTGTCCATGTACGTGAATATATTATTGTGTATAACAGGAACCACTGCCCAAACTGAAAATAGCTAAAAGATGGGAAAAAATTAAGTGTCCCTATACGGAGAAATAAATGGTGACTTTTCACTGTATCAGCTAAGAACTGGTAAGGCAGTACAGGGAGCTTCTTACAGTTCTAAAAGAAATCTGCAAGCAAGAACAAGGCTTGCACATGCACATTCATGAAGTATTACCACAAACACAGATGCAACGGCCAAAAAGCCAACTGTTACCTAAGCAGCCACTTTCAGCTTAACTGTAAAATGAAGGGGAAGGGAAAAAAAAAAAAAGAAAACCAGGGCACTACTGAACACAGCGCTAACAGAAAAGACACTCAGAACATACAGCACAGCAGCTACTAACAATTCTTGGTTTTTTTTCCTGCATTCACCATGTAACCACTTAATGGTTATTTCTGCAGAAAACAACTGTGAGAAAGAACACGACTCCATTAATTTTTCCCATTTTATGGAATCAGCCTGGAATGCTTGATAAACACGTAGGCCAAGAATAACAGTAAATTATAGAGATTAAAAACAATTAAAGTAAGGGAAGGACTTCAGGTGTTTTACCTTTCCCTTCTTTTCCATAAGCAAGGTCTGGTGGAATAGTTAGCTTCCGCTTCTCTCCCACACACATGTCCTTCAAGCCTTTGTCCCAGCCTTTGATAGCTTCCCTTATGCCAAGGGTAAACCACATAGGTTGGCCATTGTTATGCTTGTGACTGGAAAAGAACGGAATAAAACACTTAGTCTTTAGACATCAAGTTCCATAAGAGGCACATGAAGCAGAGGGAATATGCTCACTGCAGAGATATATAAATAAAAACACACCACTATCTGGTTCCTTGGCATTTCTTAAATGAAGGACCTAAACTTTTAAAGTCTTTAAGGAACCTTGTCATGTAAAGTGTAAGTTTTAAGAAATGGAAAGAAATGAAACATCTACGTGATGCATTTCTGACAACACTAAGCAACCTGGATCCCCACCTTCACTTCCTTGATCACCTATTTCCACTTTGAAACCGATCAAACTAGAAAGACATCTCTACTTAAAAATATAAATTCGAGGCCATGAACATTCTTCGGCAAATTTCAAGTCAAAAACCAGCTTGGTCATGATTACAATGTACCTTATAATATGCTTAGAAGAATCAGCCACATCTCTTCCAAAAAAGCCATTAGGGGAAAAAAAAAAAAAAGACACCACCACCCCCCCCCCAACAGATAGTGTAGAAAAACAGAACAAATGCATGCATAACATTCAAGTTCAAAGTAGGCAGACAAGCCCCATTTCCATTTAACCAGGTGGTACACCAGGACTCCTTTCACTCTACTGACAGACACAGAATTTTAAAAGTTCTATTTACTAGTCATGCAGGAAAGGTGCTTAACAAGAAAACAGAGCACTTACAGAAGTTAGTCAGCAGCAAAAACTTAGAGCATCACTAGAACTTCTCTTAGAGAGGTAGGTTAACTACAAGAGAAAATTAGTGAGATTTTTAGTTTAAATCGTCTGCAAGAGCATAACCATGCAAAACAGTTTTTAAAAAATATGTTCCACAAAAGTAGGTGTCAGACGTAGCCTACAGATACTTGAGCATTTTACTGTCTCCCACCATTAACACTTCGCTGATGTTTTACAGGAAAGGCAACATTAGCGAGTCATTGCAGGCTCTTTGCAGGCTCCCTCGAATTTCTGGCTCTTCCTCCTACTTGCATTACTGTGGTTCTGGTATGTTGATTCGTCTGGTCGGGGGCAGGTGAAGAATATACCATTTTAGTAATGAAAAGCTGTCATTGTGCTGCCAGTAGTGGAAGGATATATATAACTTCTTTTTTTTTTTTTTAAATTAGAGGCAGACTTCTCCCCTGAAAGTTTGCTTTAGAAACCAGACAGAAATTCGTGCAAAGCGTAAGACTTACTAAACCGCTGAGAGCTCAACCTGTGTCTAAATTGCGAAGAGGATATGTAACATCCCATCTTTTAACAAATGCCACATGGCTCTATTTTCTACAGTCTAACCAGAAAACAAAAGCTAAATAAGATTTTATATCCTTGATCTAGCAAAGGGAAAGGAGATAAGCTTTACCGTTGTTCATTTTAAACAGCATTCTGAGTCTGTGCTTCCTAAATTATCAAAGCGTAAAGAGCAACCAAACTTTCTGAAAATAGGTGACGGTGGAAAGGGTCCCGTGAACAACTTTGTGCAGTGTTATTTAAGCTATTTTAGTTCAATAACGAATAAGGTCTAGGGCATGCTATGAACACGCATGCATTGCTTTTGTTTCCTTGCACAATGGTAAAGGCAAGTTTTGGGAGGGAGGAGTAATTGTAAAAAAAAAAAAATAAAAAGCCACCCGCCCTCAACAAAACACTCCTCGTAGAGCTACTTCACAGGATTGCGGACCACTATGAGACGTCCAGGCTCAGTAAAACACTGCCACCAGAGATCACCTATATCAAAATACATACAAATATATGTATAAAGAGATCTGTATAGCTCCCCCCGCAAGCTCACCCACCAGCCCGCTCGAAGACGAGCCGCCCGGGGCGAGCTACTCACGTGGAGTGAAACATGGAGCCATCCTTCTCCAAGTAGCCCTCGTAGTGAACCAGCATCATGTCCCCCCACTTCGTCCTCCTGTGGCAGAGGAAGGGCTTCTGCAGCACCTCCACCTTCACGTCAGCCGCGGGGATCAGCGCCGCGGCCGCGCAGCCCAGCGCCTG